CCTACCTATAATACTCTCAGGATACTTTAATTAGATTTGGTAATGATAATGAAAACATACGCGTCGCAATTTGAAAGTCATCCTTCAGTTAATCAATCAAATTGTGTTTGTTTTTATCGGACTAGATGTGATGAAGAGATTAGTAGACATGAAAATAAATAATTCGAAGGCGAAGAAGTTTCAAAGAACAAAATGGAAAAAATGAACGTAGGCCTACATGCCTACCACGAATGGAAACAATGTCAGGAATTATCTTTTTAGTTTCAAAGAGAGAGAGAGAGAGAGAGAGAGAGAGAAGGAGAGGGGGAGAGAGAGAGAGAGAGAGAGAGGGAGAGAGAAAGAGATTCCTAAATTCATGAATGTATAATAACAAAACACCAAGGCAGTGCAGCCCAAATGATATATTTTTAAAAATGATAACATCCCTGCAAATGAGGCTGATTTCCTACAAAGTTTTTTTTTATTCTTTCATCGATATCACCTGCATGGGCACACCCCTGTCACCAGAGACAGAGGGGTATAATAGTACCCCTGTCACCAGACAGAGGGGTATAACAGTACCCCTGTCAGCAGACAGAGGGGTATGACAGTACCCCTGTCACCAGACGGAGGGGATAATTTCCACTTTGCATGGGGCAGGTGCGATGCTGAGAGGTGCGCAAACTTTGAATCATCCACCAGTTACTTTCCAGACCGTATACCGGGGAACTTAAAATAGAAATACGGAAAAGCCCCACCTTTTTATCATACCTGGTGGCGAGTTCGAGAATGAGAAAGCAAAATATTACGAGGAAAAATAGACATGGGGTCCCGTTTTGAAGTTCAGTGATTGAATTTAACAATTTGATTGGAACAACAGTGGTGTCTGTGACGAACGATTGAATATAAACAGTCATGTAAAACGTAATCGCAGCGCATTCCACTTTTATTCGCATGATTTGGAATGACAACAGAAATGACGGAAATAAATTGGGCGCATTATTCTTAAAATAACATTTCAAAGGGAATAGAAAGTCAGTCTATATCCGTTGTTTTATTTTCATCACCAGATCTTATTTGGGGGTTTATCATATTTATAGGACTATGAAGAGGAGACATACCAAATGTTCTGTCGGGCTTTCTAATTTGATTATGTTTGGAAAACGTAGAAGAACTTTATACAAAAAATTCAAAACAAATATTCTTTTGAACTCTCTCGGGTAACATCATGAATTCTATATCCATTTTAAAGATAAAGATGAGTTCTGTTAAAAAAAGAAAATGAATTCTCACAGAATCAAACGAAACTTACACTGAATGTTCAAGATTACAAATAAATGTCATTTGCCAAACAATTTTGGTAAAAAAATGTATACTGAGTAATGATTAGGATTAGGAAAGATTAGGAAATCAAGGTTAGTAGCCCCGACACCATTTGTGAAGTCCCATATTCATCTTTCTGTGTACAGTGCTTATTACTTTACCAAGAATGGGCCAAATTTATTATGATTTTGATGACTTCAGGGGGGTGTTTCACAAAGATCCTAAGTAGAACTTAACACTAAGTTTGACTTAAAAATTATGGACAGCCATTGGAGCCTTAAAATGAAATATAATCAAAAGCAGAAATTCAAGTATTTTAGACATTTTATCAATTCCACAACAAGAATATGAAATCTCCTTAATGATAGAAAATATGAATGATTTGAATAAACATTTTATGCCTTTCAAAAATATTTTTACCAAATATTTTCAAAGATGCTAATGGCTGTCCATAATTTTTAAGTCCAACTTAGAGTTAAGTTCTACTTAGGATCTTTGTGAAACACCCCCCATAACTTTACAGTACACACCAATACTTACATGCTACATGATCAACCTTTTCTGATTCATTCAACGCCTTTTCTTTCACAATGCAATCGGATGAACAGAACTCACCTTTATCTTTAAGAACTGGGAACTTGACCAAAAAGTTTCAGGTCACGAAATAAAAGTAATAATAATAATAATTATAATCGTCATATTTGTATAGCTCTTAATACTACATTTCTAAGCGGTTATAGGAGTATAGGATTCAATTGCTAATCCGCACACGATAGCGCACACGCTCCGCTTCCTGAGGAGTATTCCGGCCAGGCGCCATTTTACAAGCGCACAAGTGCACACGTGCCAATCCAACCCCATTAACGTTCGCATCATATACCGGGTATTCATTTGGCACCTGGGTGGAGAGTGGCAAAACCCATGCAATGAAAACTATCATAGAAAAGGTATCAAGAGAAGAGAAGAACGGGAACCTGACACGATCCCTCTAAACATTCTTGAAAAAAAGTAATGAATAAAAAAATAAAAAAAGTAATGAATATGCCTATCCATTTTATTAAGGCAATTTGAAATTCGGGAACCATTTTTCTTAACGCCAGTTCGGGACTCGCAGTTTTTGCGTATAAAAAAAACTGGTCCGACCATCTGACATCCTTCGCCAGTTTTTTTTGGCAAGCTCCCTGCCAGCAAGTCACCTTTGTTCACTAGCTATGTAGACTCTTTATACACACTTTCTTCGAATTATAATAACCCTCAACAAACTACTTTACTCTCCATGTGATTGCCAAATTTACAGAACACACCGACCTATCAATAAAGAAGCGGAAACGACCCAAGCGACCCGTCAAGGAGAGGGATGATTGATGCCCCATCAATGTCATTATATTTAATTCATCCGGACTTTTTGTTTTTATTCTAGCTGCTGTTCGTATCTTCTTCTTTACTCGACAACGAGACAGAATTTTATCTCCGCAAATAGCGCCTCCCACGTCCCGAAATTCAGTTAGAAAAAATATTGGAAATTTGGAAAATTGGAACGATAAATGCAGTCATGATGTTGAGGTCTAAATAAATCCGCGCCACACCATTTGATCTCGATATAGCGCTGTGGTATTTGTATAGGCCATTACAAATTGATCAATATACTGATATTTAAAAAAGATTCAAATACATGTTTAGCTTCAAAATAAAGCTACTGAAAAAATAAACACAAGACAAAGTGAATTGGTATGGTTAGAGATACTACCATTTTGGGGCACAAATCATTCTTCTTGCACACGGATCCTCGGTAAGAATCGTTGGGAAAAAATATCTTGTTAAATTTGCTCATCAATACTTCCGTCAAAATCTTGTTATTTCAGCGCAGTAACTATTAGTCCAAGAGCAGGAGACAACTAAATATGATAAAATGACCCATAATTCCACATGCGGTATTATTGGCATATCCGGAGTTGGGTATGGGGGCACGCGCCCCTCGTTAACCCTAATCTGGTATGAAAAAAGTTACAAAAATTGTCTCCAAGTTGTGAATTCGGCCTTGTTGGCAGAAATAACTGTAGACACCTCAAAGACATCTGAAACACGGGCTTTCTCTTTTGTTTCTTCTTCAGACTTGTCTTGTAGCCCCCCCCCCCCCTCACCCGGCCTAAGAATCTTAGATATAGCAGCAGAGATGGACCATTACCGTATAATTACAGCCGATATGATTGTCGACAGCTAGTTCTTTCTGTCCTCTATCCATTAGCGGTAGCCGTGCTGGTCACCCCGCGGCTCGTAAATAGGAAACGTCGTGTAACCGAGGAGCTAATGACTTAATTACGTACTCATGATTGCGTCAAAAACCCAAGGTTTGTCAAGGATATCAATACTTCTGACACCTCTGATCAATTCCAGCAGCTGGACCTATTTTGACTTGTCCAAAACACCTTAGGATTGACAAAGGGTGTTTAATATTTGTGAAGTCCCGACGTTTCGTCCGTCAAAGCTGTATTCCCATGTAAACTATAAAGCTGTAAATGCACACAAATTAGTTTCCTTTTGATTTTCATCTGCTCTAGGTCTCTTTTACTCCTTTTCCTTTTGTCTTCAATCCTTTACCTCATCTCTCTCTCTCTCTCTCTCTCTCTCTCTCTCTTTCTCTCTCTATCTGCCTCTGTCTGTCTCTTTCTGTCTTTCTTTATCTTTTTCTCTCTCTCTATCTTGGCCCTACCACTTTGATATCTCCTTGTATAATTCCTTCCCTCTCTTTCTCTCATATCTCTTACTATTTTTCTCACAAAAGAAACACACATAAGGGGCATTTACACTGTCTTCCAAACACGCAAAAAATACCAAACCGGAGCATTTTGTGTAAACTTATTTAATGTAAAAAAAAGTACTCTATTCATAAAACATTCCGTAGATCTCTTTTTTCTATAATAAAACTATAAAAACGACAATTGAATATATACAAAAGATGGAATCCAATAAGTATGTGTATGAAAATACCTCGTATGCATGTCATTGCTATAATTAAAGCTAAGGCAGTATAATGGTTGGTTTGATGAATAAACATTCAACCTTTTTTATTGTTATATTTCTACCAAGTTTCCCCTCTATTCTGTGGTATTTGCTAATCAAATAAAGCATACAGAAGGAGACATAAAGGTTGCACATATTCACTAGCATAGGCATTACAATTAGTACAAATGTCTATTCATTAATCCGCTATTGAATTTAACTATAGCTTTCACATTCTTGAAATTCCTTTATTCTTTTAATTTTCTTGTCGAGGGTTTATAAACGATATTTCATCCAAAATGATCCACTTTCTTAAATGGGTTGAAAGAACTTCAGATATCATACGTGTTTAATGATATTCTTTGGTCTTTAATGCTCTGTTTTAAAAATTGCAATCAGATGATAAATGTTTTTGAAATTATTATACTCTGTTTGGCTTTGTTCACGTGTGATCCTGTGGCAGTTATCACTGTCAGAGGCATATGAGCACATTTTCGCGAGAGGGGGGGGGGGGGGGGGGGGCTTTGCCTGAATATAAACTCTTCAGATTATAGATTTTCCGAATGCGAACGACACAAACGTTCAAATAAATTGACACTTTTCCACGGCCAAAATGTTAGGTGGTGGCTGTCCGAAAATAGAAGTTAAATATTAAAAAAACCTCCCCAGGGGAGCAGGGGGGGGGGGGGTGGGCGCTGGGATGCAGCACCCTAGCCACCCCACCCCCTACGCCTATGATCATAATTACAAGTAAGAATAGTCACAGTGATCTCGAGCAATCATCATGGAGTCAGGTTCTTCGTCGTTTCTGTCGTATTTCGATCAACTTCGATATAAATCGCCATCCTCTCTCATGTGACGACGTCGATAAAAAGTTCAAATGTCTCCACAACGATGTTCTGGATGACGTCATGGGATCAATGTGGAAGACGTCAGGGGTCAATGTGGAGTTCCTCGGCCTGTGCATGTCTATGACATTGCCCACTGTGATCGTGCTCGGTGAGAACAGCGAGGAGTTGGGATTTTTGTTCTTCAAGTTGGTCGATCTCGTCCAGGAGGTCTTGCTTGCTACTCTCCAGTTGGTCGGTCTCCTGCAACATAATATGGCAGAGAAATGGCAGATAAATGATATTGAAATGCTTCACGAAAGCATAATGTAGTGGAGAAGCTGTGATACCCATCATCAGGATTAACAAAATGTATTTACAGAGTGCAATTAATGTTCAACCCCTCCCCAGGAGCATTTAGAGTTCGATTTTGCACCCCCTTCCCTCCCCCATCAAGACTGAATCTTCATTTCCCCCTTTGTAGTTTTATTTCTTCTGTTGCCTTCCCTTACTCTTTATCAAAGATATACAAAATTATTCATTTATCCATCCCAAGTTGTTTTGGAATCTTTTAAGTACGTGAACATTTCATTTGTCCTGATCTATGTTTCTTGAGAATGTGACAGAGATATCAACTGATTAATCCATTAATTACATTTCAAGCGAATTGAAGTATTCACGTTTTGCGCTCTGTTAATGTAAATTAATGTGAATATTATTTTCATTTAGTAACATTTTGATGTATTCATTCATTGATTAATTTTAATTTCTTATTTTCTTCGTTTACATGTATATGTTAAACTATTCATTTTATCATATACTATTGGGTGAGATGAAACAAGGGTGACTGCTTTGAACGACAGGCTTTTTTATTATTATAGGGGAGGTAGGGGGTTAGTGGTGCCAGACACCCTCTAAGGCCAGCCTTGATGTGACGTACCTCAACCAAGACAAAAGTTCTCTCTCTTCTCCTCTCTCTGCACCTCGAAGCAGCAACTCGATTTCTTTCTCGACGTTGTCTCCGCTTGGCCTCTTCCTCTTTCGAAAGCTGGAAAAATACAAAAAAAAAGGAAAAGAAATTGTGACAAGAAAAACAAAGTTGCAAACATCAGGATGAAAAATGAAATCCATCATATACACGCTTCCTCCTTGTGTACTCAAAATGTATTCCTTTTCTTTTTCTCTATGTCTTTTCCTTTAATCTCCCTTTTAGAATGAAAATATATTTATGAACTTTTCAACAAGTACAAGTTTTAACAAATCAAACGATGTAATGAAAACGTGGTCACGCAGGTGATAAATTCAGTCTGTCACTAGTACCTCTTCATTCACCCAAGGATCAATCTTTATCTCAAATACTCATAGTTTTCCATCCTAAACTTTCCAACACCTAGCTATTTCTCTTTTATATCTGTCTCACTTTCTATTTACATTTATATAAAAAAAATCCTACGTAATATTAAGATTTATACAAAAAAAGGAGACCTATTTGCTTAAAGTGTTAAGTTATCAACAATTTCATAATATCATAATTATAATAATAATAATGTTGATTATATTTATATAATCAACATAATCATTTTTAAAATACTATAAACAGAAGAAAAATCATGTACAATAATCAATATTTAACAACATATAACATAATATATTTAAGTGTAATTTACATTGTGATTTACATGATATTTATTATAAGTAAATTATGAAACGAATATCATACCGATTCTTGTCCATTTGCCTTCCAATCCAGCCGAATACCCCCTAGGCCCTTCTGTATCCTTTTCTGTATGATACTGCATCGTATCTCATCCCGAAGCTGAGTCCCTTGATTGAGGCAGGGATCCGAAACGTCTCCCTGGGTCAGGTAATCTTCCCCCGACAGCAGCGACTGATTGGCGAACGATCCCGTATCCGAGTCCGAAGACGACGTCGAAGCCGTGGTCGTGAGTCTGCCTGACCACATCAACGAATCGGCCGATGTTGTCATGTTCGCTGCAAGTTCGGTGTCTGAAAGGGAGATAAAAGCACAAATGTAGATTAGATGAGTATGGGGTGAAGAAAGCAAGTGAAAATGGAAAATGAAGATATAATCCTTACAAATGACTCGATAAGAAGAAGAAGTGTGTATTAGGATGAGCAATAATTCATGGTCGTTACATACAAGGGACAGATTAACAAAGTGATACTTAATGTGTTGCAAACCAGTTTAAAGCGATGTTAAACATGTTGAAAGAGTTTACGATTGCAGCTATCCTTAAATTTTTTATTTACACACAAAAATAACACAAAGCAAAATTCATATTTCTTTCAGTTACCTAACTGAAGATCACTAACTGATTGACTTACTAAACTCGCTAAATGAAAATTCTTTTAATTGATGAAAATTATTCACTAATTGAAACTATCATATATGTTATCCTTCAACACAAAATGACAGAATACTTATTCAAAGGAGAACACTTTAACAAGGTGAAAAAGGACCTTTACTAATTTTTGACGTCACGACATTATAACTTCCTCAATTCGGCGACTTTCGATGGGTTACTATTCTGGAAGTTCAAAGGTTTATCCTACGCTATTATTTCCTTCTCCGCTTCCTACGATACCACCTAATATGAATCATTTCGCTTCATAATAGCTTTAAAAAATATACCGAATTATTTATAGTAAAACAAAACCAATAGTATATGAGGTTGAAGGATAGTAATGAGTCACATGTTGGGGTATACCTCCATCTATTTATAACACTGTCAACATTGATGAATAATTTGTAAACCTATCGAGAGCTTTACACGTGGTTTTCTTGTTAACCAATGCAAATAAATCGGAGGTCATATCGGTTACAGTACAAATATTAATGAATGGGTAAATAAATCATAGCAATGAACTTGCAGAAAGTACTCTAATTCATTTGTTTTATCAATTAGGATGTTGGAGAAAAAAAGGACATCGCTCAGGGCAGAGCCATTTGGTCTTGTTTAAAATAATGGCAAAATGTTAGGATAGATTTATGCACAATGTAGCCTATGTGTCACCGGAAGGTAAGATCATTACAATAAGGAGATAAAACTATTGAGCCTATCAAACGAAATGACGCATTTGCTGAAATATGACGAGATATAATATTTCTATTCTTTTGAAAAGAATGGAGATTAAAAAAACCGAGACAAACAAACAAACAAACATACAAACAAACGAGTAGATTTCAAAACTTTGCTTATAATTAGTCCAATGGGTTAGACCCACACTAGATATATTTTGATCTAGCTGTTCGTATGTGTACTATTCTAGAGGACATACAAGCACAATTTTACTCTTATAAATAACTATGATATCTTTACCAGCATTAACAAAAATTAATCTCATCACTATATGGAATAGACATCACGGAATGACCATGGCCTGGCAAAGTACGAATAGCCGGTAGTTATGTCCGTTTAGAACTACTCGGAATATCTATTGTGATTTTTATATCTGTGGTCTATGGTATCCGCCAGAGGTCAAAGTATTTTTAATAACATAATTATTTGATTGAATGAGCAATAGATAAACAATATTTTTCCAGGACAAAGGGTTCTTATTATAGTTCGAATCAATAGGTCTATATATATATTTACCACTAAACATTTACCATGAACCACACTCTTAAAATAGATAGTGGCCTCTAGATCTATACACAAATTGTACACCCTTATCACGATACCCCAAATAGTTATTAGTATTTAGGGTGTCATGTTATTAAATATTAAGGAATTACGAAATAAAACGAGCTCAAGGTGTAGTACCCATATTTGAATATGTCATATTGTACATGTCACATAAATATCACGTGAATATAATCATTTGTATATGAATATGGAAGTATCAGTTCTTAATGTGACATACAGCAAACACACTGTGAATACGTTTGATATAAATCAAGTGCAAAAATATGAAAAGCACTTACCGACAATAGAATCAATTATCTTGTAGAAATTCAGTATATGGACGCAAAACGGCTAAAAGTTCACTCTTTGTTCATAACAATTGTCAAAGTCACAATGCAAATATACTCCGCCACTCCCGATGCGCTAATCATTCAATGTGCCAAAATCGTATTAAGTTGGTGAAGGCCTTCTTTCAATAATGGTGTATATTGGCGTTTGTTAAATACCAGATAGAAGATAAGTCAGCGTATGCGGTAGGTATATAGGACGGTGCTCTGCTTGACAAGTGACTAAACTATTGTAGTTTGAGCTATAACCATGATAACCCTGTCATCCTGGCATATGATTTCCGATTTCTCTTCTGGAGTTAACGGTGTTGTTTTGTCAGTTTTGGTGGAAATACCGGATCTGAGTCCAAGTAAAATAGTTCCGATCTATGATGTGGACCAGTGCACACCAGCACCAGGAAACACAACGGAACTACAATGAGTTAACAGGACCTTGTGAGAAAAGAGGGTGCGTTTATAAATTAGGTTTTAACCTAGAGGGAAAATAACATTGTTGTCAAGAAAGCACACCTCGCATATTAAAGAATTAGTGGGAGTAAAGAACCATTGGAAATCCTTGACATATTTTGATTTCATTAATGAAAAGACTCACTGAGCTGGTACCTGGATTTTTAATTGCTACCCGAAGATTCCCCATAAAAATGTTGCGAACAAATAAACAAACAAGACCAATACAACTGTAAACGAGAGTTCAAAATAAGGTTAATGACGAACTTCAGACATATAAACATGACATAGGTAGGCCTAGATAGAAAATGTTCTTGAAAGGTATGATAATAAACTTTATATTAAATAATTCTGTTTTTTTTTTGGAGGGGGTAGGAGTAGGCGACCCTCATTATGTAAGGCAGTTTGGATTTGGTCTTACTCGGAAAAATGAAATGCGATTTTAAAAGGCTACTGATATAATAGAGAGAGGGCATGGAGGTTGTCCAGGCCTTTTCTTCCCCTTCCCCTTTCTTATTTATTTCCTCTCTTATCCTAACTTTTTCCCACCCTCTCGATAGGGAGAGGGGGGGGGGGGGCGTGTCTACGTATCCCTGTTGTAGCTGCATCACTGTTCAATATTACAGGTAAATCGGGCTCTATTTTACCCTCTCTAGCTACTGAACTTGGTGCCGATAGGACTGGCCGCAAAGTGACTAATCATATAGCTTGATTTGCTGATCAGTGATGATATCTATGTATTATTTGTTTGTGGTTTTAACTCTTATTTGTCAATGGTTCGTACCGGGTCATGGATTTTTGTCTGAGTTATAAGAATGTGTTTGGTTTCATAAACGACCTCATGTTCTCGTATCGGTTTATTTAAAGGTAAAATTTAAGAATACAGAATTCATTGCAATATTTTACAAATTAATATGCTCAACGATGGACATTGCTATTTCACCTTTAATTTTTTAACTAAATTTATTTCTCCTCTCAAATCATGAAATAGAAGAAATTGTTTTCTTCTTTTCCTTAAAGATAGTTATTACATGTACAATCACACAGTGGCATTTATAAAACACATGACTTCTGTCCATCCATACACAATCATTGTCAAATCTGGAAAATTCTTTTTCTTTATTATACCATCCGTCCCTCAATCATCATGACTGTATCCCATGTCCTATACGAGTACATGAGTGACAAGGGATAGTTTGAAGGTAAAGGATGGTAGGTGACAGCTGCAGGGGTAGTGGGGGGGGGGGTGCGATATAGCAGGGGGTATCCAAGAAAGGGACATGTATTTAGGGACAGCTACCAGCCCCTCCCAAATAAGAACAGATCCCCACCTCGTAACCTTCTCCTCCCAACCTGGAATAATTTATGCTTTGGAATGGGTGGGGTAGAATGAAATAGGAAATTATAATTTTCTCGACATAATAGTCCCTTTTCTCCTTTTCTCTCTCTCCTCTTTTTTATCTTCACTCCCCTCCGATTTTTTGTTCTTATGTTTTATCCGCCGACGGCCAGGAATGACCCCATCTTTTTTAAAATGTTGTGTAAATCAACATGATCAATAACTGTCATTTGATGACTTTTTAAATCACTATACTATTGGAAAATTATGATTCACCGTTTTCTAACGGCACAACTTGATACCGCAATCCCATTGACAGCCCCCCCCCCCTCCCCTCTGCAATTCCCCTTGGACTTTAATCTAAACGTCCATTCATGACTGGGGTTTATTTTCATTTCTATGTTTATTTCTTTTGGCATTGTTATGGCCTTGGTTCGATGTCCGTCGAGTTATATAGGAAACACGTGTAATTGTCCAGAGCAAGTCCGATAATGCTATATTTCCGCTTAGAAAGCGGACTAAAATCAATCTTAAAGTTAAGTTTATAACAATGGGATGTCATCTAGGGTAAACATGATTTGGACAAACAACATATCCCTTTTTTAATTACATTAAAAGTACAAGGCGTCCGACCTGTTTCTTAATTTGAATGTAATGAAAGAACGCTGAGGTTGTGTGATAAGTGATAAACAACGTTTCCTATTGGGTAAGTGGTGCGGCGTTTCTGACTTGCAAATATTTTGCGACTGTCTTTAAAAAAATACACTTCAAATTTCAAGTGATGCAAATATGACATATTCATTCGTACAGTAAACATAACGAAATCATATAAAAATGCAAAATGACAAATCATACTGATTTAACTTTTTATTTTTGGCGGGTGGTAATGCTGTTATAGCGTTGCCAAAGAACTGCATTTTATAATTTGTCGTTTATTTGCGTATTCCATTTTTAGTTAGGGCAACCACAAAGTATTTATAGTCCATGAGATGTTTTATTGTATAGTTAGGATTATGTCATTGCTTCCAAAGAGTATCTGTCAATTTCAGCATATCATGATTGATATCATTGGGATCATGTTTATAGTTCATTTGATTTATCCCATTGGATATAAGCTTATTTGTCGGCGTTAATTGGTAACTTTATTCCACTTTAGTATGATTCAATTTTTACGTTCTAAACGTGTTAGAATTTTACCTATATTACGCAAAAACATTTTCGTCTGAAAGAGGATCACAAAATGAAAAGTTCATAGAAATATAAATATGCCTACCAACTCACTGAAATTGTATGTACATATATATTTATGTTCTTAATTTGATGAAAAAGATCACATGTGGTATGATTTGGAAGAATTCTGTGTTTATCCTCAGGGTAATTATGCTGTATTATTGTAGAGCGCTTAGAGACTTCTGACAAAGTAAGTGTTAGGCGCTGTATAAGCACTGTAATTGTTATTATTGTTATTATTATCCTCCTCCACGATCGTTGGAACTTATGGAGTAAATAGTAAAAATGAAAAGAAAAAAAAGATGTAAACTAATTTTCCGTCTTCTGTGGATTTCACGTCAAAGCAATCGCTATGATGATATCAACAAGAGAGGGAGAGAGAGAGAGAGAGAGAGATGTGGAGAGAGAGAGAGAGATAGAGGAACTTGGAGTGAGAGATGGAGGAGTGAGAGAGGGTGGGAGAGGGAGAGAGAGAGAGAAAGAGAGAGAGAGAGAAAGAGAGAGAGAAGAGAGAGAAAGAGAGAGAGAGAGAGAGAGAGAAATAGAGAGAAAGGTAGAGAGAAAGAGAAAGAGAAACAGACAGAGAGACATGGCGCGAGGGGGGGGGGGGGCGGTTGGTATGAGTGCTAATTCTAAGACAGATATATCCCGATTATTGTTGAAATATCGATTTAGTCATGTTGACATTCAAGAGACACAAAAGAAAAATCATCTCATTTCCTCGGATTTCCTGACCTCCCACATATCAATTTTTCGCCCATGAGTCGCGAGGAAACTGTCCCATCATTTGGTTTATCCACACCCTTTCCCCTTGCCCGACATATTCCTTTCCGTGTCATGTTTGGTTAGAGAGCGCGGGAAAAGACAGTCCCAACAGGCATAGCATCGTCTGGCCAGGCGAAGTGTAGGCGTAGTAGGTCCATGATGAGACACCACCACACTGATGGCATTCTCTTCATGTTAACGATCAGGCCATATACTTGATATATAAGTCCAGGAGCTGGTCCCCCGGGGGCACAGGGGTCTCGTCCCCCACCAAAAAGACAGAAGGAAAAAAAAGGGGAAAAGGAGGAAGAAGAGGGCTGCTGATTGTTGTTTTGGCATGTCAGAGAATATATTATTAAAAACAGCACATATACAAATCTGATGCCCTTTCTTTTTGCTTGTCAAAAAAAAAATATCAGACTATATAATATTTTTCGCTGAACGAGGGGGGGGGGGGGTGAACACTCCTTTTTCCCCTCAATATCCACCCCCCCCCCCCTTTGAGCAACAAATTGAACACCTAAAACACCCCCTGTTTGCCAAGGATGGAGGGGTGTTTTGAACACCTAACCCCCCCCCCCCCTCGATACGCCCTTGGCCTGACATACGTAATATGATTTTCATCAAAAGAAACCATAGCAAAATAACAATAACTATAGACCAAATGAGGGCGGGTGGAGAACATTGGAGATGGCATTCGTTCTGGAATTGAATAAAGAAATCCTCAAGGAAAATGTATTCACAAATTTACAAAGCCTTTAAGGCTTATTCGAAGCCTATAATCATAATAATATCTATTAAACAGAAAGGCGTCATAAAACTGGTATCAACCCACAATACGAGATCTCAATGCGTAATTATATATAACAGCTATGATCCACAACAATTACCGAAATAATTGGAAGCCGGGTGGTCAATTTTGTGCTGCCATTGTGTTTTAGTCATTGTACTTCCAAACTTTGTCCATTTTATTTTTATCCGCAGGATAACTATGGTCTGCCTTATCCAGTCTCGTTGTATGCCAGTGAAAGATAATTACAGTTTTCCATCTTCTGCATTGTCTGCTGTAGCACTACCTGAGGCAGTCGTCTCACAAGTCACAAAGGCTAACTAGAACCTCGGTTAATTACATTGGCCAACAGGTGATTGACGATGAGTAATGGTAAAGAGCCTGATTTGAGGCCACTCGTGGGTAATTAGTTCTGCTGGACACATGATCATCATTAAACTCGTCAACTATTTTACATTACACAGAATACTGTTATATTTAAAGATGAAGTTGAGTTCTGGTCATGCGATTGCATTGTGAAAGAAACGGCGTGGAAACGACCAGAAAAGGTTGATCATCTAGCATATAAGAATTTGTGTGTATTGCAAGGTTCTGGAATCATCAAAATGATAAGAAATTTGGCCAAGTCTTGGTAAAGTTACAAAGGCTGTACGCAGAAATATGTATATGGGACTACACGAACACGTGGCGTAAAAATCCTACCCCCGAGTTTTACGATGTTACATGACATATTTAGAATATAAAGGCATTTGAAGAGCCATGCTTTTCAGGGAACATGTCTTATCTGATGTTCTTCCACACTTGCATGATAAGAATGATAACGCTCACAAATTATTTTTCACCTCTTCCCAGAACTCAACCTTCTCTTTAACTTTCTGAAGAGCTTTTGACTTTAACTTTTTGAATATTTCCCTATAAACATCGAATCACATAGATTCCTATTGTATTAATTTATATGTAATTACTCTGAAAAGTTCGATCAAGGAGTTCATTTATGTCTATTTTATATTTCTTGAATGTTAGATGATCAAGCATTAACCTGGCTTTCTCAACCCACACTCCTATCTCTCTCTCTGTGTCTGTCTGTCTCTGTCTCTCTTTCTCACTCTCTATTTCTTCCCACCTTTCTCTGATTCCCTCTGTATGTCTGTTGTCTCTTTGTCTCTGTCTCTCTGTCTGTCTGTCTGTCTGTCCCTCTCTCTCCCTCTCTCCCTCTGTCTCCCCCTTTCTCTCCATTCCCTCTCGTTTGTTTGATTCACAACACATTTTATCTCATAGCAATCAATGTGATACAATTATCGTACACTTTGCATCTGCACTTTTCGTACAATCACATTTGAGACAATGGGGTATATTTGATATAACAATGGAGATAATAAATAGACACACAGATAAAGGAAATGGAGAGGAAGCATTGAACTTAAAAACACAGCACTTGCAATATAATATTTGGCAAGTGCTGTATTTTTATTATTGCGCTGTACGTGATTTTGCATTTAGTCATTCTAAGTAGAATTCACTCTGTCATCATTCGTCTAAATATAAAAGAAATCATATATAGAGCCAGAGTGAATAATGACTTCTAAATCCTATACCATCTGCTCGCTGTATTATAGAACACTACTGCTCTGCAAACCCTCAGTCCCCGTTTAAAAAAACTTGTTATCAATAACATGTTGCAATATCTGTTATAAGCTACTGAAATAAAGGCATTTGATTGGCTGAGAGCAAACTCGTCACAGATAATATTCATTATCGATAGCGAAGTTTTATGAAACAGGATCTGCATATTTCAAGTGGTCATAAATAGGACAAAATTATGTTTTTCGTCATACAACGTTGTGTTTCTGCCATCTCATATTCATGATCGAGCGTAACAATAATAATGTTCAACAAGATATTATTTTTCCTGATGTTGATGTTATAAAAGCATCTTGTATCATGGAGTGAACATAGAGAAAAGAGCGGCACAGAATCGCTTCCTTTTAAAGTGCTGCCATTGTATTCAAGTTTTTCTAGTAACAAATGCAACTAAACGTTCTTATTTCCCGCCGCATGTGCAAACTTAATAATGGCGGTAAATCTTAAAAGAACTTCCTATTCTTAATTTCCAAGAGGTTTTGTTGAAAGTCTTCACGGGTCTTGTGTAGGTCGACGTCATATTGATGATATCCGTTATTCAGATATGCTTGATGAGTGTGATGAGAAGCTTCCGCGTGAAACGAACTTGCAGGGTGAGGGGGGCTGGGAGGGAGAGAGAGAGAGGTGGGAGACAGAGAGAGAGAGAGAGAGAGGGGGAGAGATCGGGGTGGGGGAGAAAGAACGAATGAAGGGAGAGAGTGAGGAAAGGGTAAATGGGTAGACAGAAAGAGAGACAGAGAGACAGGGAAAGAGAAGACGAGGGGAGTGAGAGAATGGTTAGAAGGAAGGGGGCAAGAGGGGGAAAGAGGGGGAAAGAAGGAGAGAGAGTGATAGTGAGGCAAGACAATGGAATATCGAGAGGGGTGTTGAAGCAAGAGAGAGAAAGAGAGAGAAAGGGAGAGAGAGAGAGAGGGGGGGGGGGGGGGGGGGGGGGGGGGGGAAGGGGAGTGGGGGTTAATGGGAGGGTGGTGCGCGAGCGTGCGAAGGTTGGGTGAGCGAACGCGCCGGTATGATCATGAGCGCGACGCGGCGCTGATGTTGCACGCTACCTATCGAGAGAGTGTTCACTTCACGCTGGGAATCGGTGCCACTTGTTTGCGATCCAACCGGTCGTCTCACCTTGTCTTTCTGGCTTCCAACCAAGCTCTCACTCGGCTCCTTGTCAGGTGTCTCCTTCAACACAGAAGAGATGTAACTCTGACAACTCATGTCGGATTCAGCAGGAGATATTATCTTCATATTATCTTTCGTTTTTTAAATCTTTTTGTGACATTCCACATTTCCACGGAAGATAAGCAATCGAGCGATGTTGCAAGCAGTTCCTAGCACCGGGAGTTTTTGCTATTCATGAATTGCTTGAGGCTTGAGCGGGATCGAGACATCTGGACCCTGGAATACTTCATCAAGTTTTTGGAATACGAATTGCATTTCAACAGGGGTTCAAGGGATTATTAATCATATCAACTGCGAGATAATATGCATATGAATCAAAATCATTTAGTGTTGAATGTTGATGTAGTGACTTCTTAAGTATTGGTAATTATGTGCCACTGATGCCCATATTGCGCCATTTGATACTATTTGAAGTTTATTTTTTATAATCACGGAAGGACGTCATTTTGGAAGAGAAGGGAACAATTAAACATGTGTTGTGACTGTGTGTGCCGCTTGACCAAAGATTGCCACGCCGAAATGGCCGATAACCAGGACAACAGCAACGACTCTAGACGATCCAGTCAAAATTTTCCCGCCAGAGGATATAGCAGACGACACATTTCGCTGCTGTCTGCCTGTCTCCTAGCGATCGCTTATATCCTTGCCTGCCTGCCCTACCCGGCTGAGGCCATTGGGCAGATTCGGTGGGAGTACCACGATTATGCCATGTTACATCAAGAATTGGATGACTTTCGCTTGCGTTGGCCCCAACTGAGCAGAGTGTACACTATCGGAACCAGCGTAAAAGGGCGGGAGATGTATGTGTTGGAAATTAGTGATAATCCCGGAGTCCACGAAGTCGGTAAGTTGTTATTTTCTTAATGACAAATCAGGCAAAAATATAAGGACGAATTAGAAAAAGGTTGAGGGAAACGAAATCATATTTAGGGGCTACTTGGAATTTTATTTTCGGTTTTTGAGACACCATATCCTGAGGTCTATTTGATACAACCCTCATCCCATCGTTCGAAACATCATTAGCAGTCTACATAATGATTATGTTAAAAGTGTACAGTCCAAATGCAAATGAATTGACATATTACTCCCCGAATAATTTGATAACAAAGTCGTTATGACGCATAAATATGCAGCAAAGTGTGATTTTATTGTGTTCAAGATATCTGTTCCTATTAAAACCATTTCCCAAATTACGTAGTTATTAAATCCCACGTAGTTAAGTATTACTTTGAAGCAGTTTGAAAGAACGTTGGCTTTCACGAGGGGAAAATAAACAAAACCTATAATGTGGGTTGCTCTCTCGACAGTGCACGGATCAGTCTCCTTTCTGGTTAAAAAACAGACTTTCTGATTTAATCCTCTCTTGAAAGAGGTGACAGGTAAAGAAACCCACACCTGTCTGACATCTGAGCGGCAAAAATCATATCCAAACCGATTAGCTTCATTACACCGGCTTTCCGCTCTATCTGTAAAAGCACAGTAGCAAGCCCCGGACGAGTAGGGGGTGAACGACGGAGAAAAGGGATCGAAACTAACCACCGCACAAGATCAAGGACGAGACGCTTTATTTATAACTTCCATTATCTCAAGGAACGGGTATCAAAGAAGGTCTGAAAAGCGATACCTATAGATCAGGGAAATGTTACGACCCTGCCTTAATGGAGGGTTGTGTAAGGTTCTAAGATTGCGTGACAATTAAAGGATTCTCTAAATATACAAAGCGCAACCCCACCCACATATTTTAGATGTTTTGTAGCAAGCCTTGAACAGATGTTTGTGTATTTTTTGACGGAGTTGATGGCCTTCAAACTTTTGAGTGAGTTAAATTTTCAGCGGAAAATTTGCTTGTATCTGCTATGTGCTCCGTCATTTCATACATCCATGTAATTTGTAATTCTCTTTAAAAAATTCTTCTGGTTTTGGTTTTCCTTTGCTTACATCACTAAAGGCCTATATATTTTGGGGGTTCGTTTATTCATTTATTTTGTTTAGACTTTTCTTCTTGAATATCTGTTTTGGCTACCCTTTGTTTACATCTTCTTTAATTCCATTCTTTCTTTGTGCTAAGATTTCTTTCTCACTCTCTTTGAAAATCTCCCTCCCTCTGAATTCCTGTTTCCATTTATCTATTCCTCCAATCTAAACCTTTCCTGTTTCTGTTTCTGTTTATCTTTCTTCCGCTCGCTTTAACTTTGTTTCTGCTTCTTGCACTCTTAGATTTCTACCTTCCTTTCTTGGTTCTCTCCATCTGCATATTCTGACACTTTCCCTTGCCCCCCCCCCTCCACCGTCTAGCCGTCTCCGTGCCTTCGTGCTTTATTCTTAACTACCTGCAGACATCGACCCGAATGTTATTCGATGTACAGTTAGATGTTTACCTTTGCAGTTCAAAGGGGAACTTCAATTTAACAGTTGACCGATTTCTCAAATAGTTCTGAAATTGGATTTTTAGGTCTGAATACTACCACACCACATATCCCTTTCTTAATACAAGTTTTCAAAGGTAAATACAAATCTCTTATTTCCTGGGGATTTTGTCGCACGACCTCGGTGTTTTGATTCTTTCTTATCAAATATGATTGCTTATTATTATTAGATGATCAAACTTATTTACCGTTTCCTCTTTTCATTTCGAAGCTTCAGAAAAGAATCGATTAGGATGGCTCTACTTTAATTTGTCAATTTTTTTCTCAATGAAAATAATAACGACATTATTCTTTGTGGTGCTCCCTGTCCTCTCTATCTCTGTTTCTCATTCTCACCCTCTTTCTCTCTCCCATTCTCCTCTCCCCATCTCTTTATCCCTCTTTCTCTCTTTCCCCTCTCTCGATATATTCTTTAAAATTATGGTTATACTTACGCCGTACATGCACGACATGGTTACACTGACAGCTAATCTCCTAAACGCGTCCAGTTTGCCTTATCATCAACACTCATTTCAGAAGAATTTTGAGAGTGAACGTCTTTGTGCGATTTTCTTTTGAAATTATTCAGATGAAGGAAATCGTTGAAATATGATATTTGTGAATAGCAACTATGAACGTTGAGCGATTGTGGCTTTAGTGAACAATACTCTTTTGCTCAAACTTCCACTCAACATTCGTTTATCTCATTTTTCTGCTTTTATTCAAACCAACTTAATATCAGGGTGGACTTCCCTTTAAGGATGCGACGTTGAGGCATTTAAGAAGGATTTTGAGAGTGGCTTCGTACGATTTTCTTTTGAAATATCAGATGAGGGAAATATTTGAAATATGATATTGGTGAATAGCGACTTCTCCTAGATGTAAACCTTGATCAACCTTGGCTATAGTGAACAATACTCTTTTGCTCAAACTTCCACTCATTTTTATCTCATTTTCTGCTTTTATCAAAACCAACTTCAAATATCAGGGTGGACTTCACCTTTAAGGATGCAGCATTGAAGCGCTTCAGAGCGATGTTGAGAGTGGCTTTGTACGATTTGCTTTTGAAGTTATTTATATGAAGGAAATCGTTGAAATATGATATTAGTGAATAGCGACTTCTCCTGCGTAAACCTTGAGCGACCGTGGCTATAGTAACCAATACTCTTTTGCTCAAAATTCCACTCATTCGTTTATCTCATTTCATGTTTTTATAAAAACCAACTTCTAATATCAGGGTGGACTTCACCTTTAAGGATGCAGCATTGAAGCGTTTCAGAGCGATTTTGAGAGCTGCTCTGTGCGATTTTCTTTTGAAATTATTCAGATGAGGAAATCGTTGAAATATGATATTGGTGACTAGCGACTAGCTTCTCCTGTGTAAACCTAAAGCGATCATGGCTAAAGTGAGCAATACTCTCTTGCTCTTTCTACCCTTCCCTGAAAGTAGGTTAAGAACAAAACTCAATCCTTGTAAACTTGAACCCAATTGAGACGGGGCTGATCATCAAGTTACATGGGGTTTATTGGGGTTTAAACCCGATAATGGCGTTCATTTGTCATCATAAGCTTCACACATTTAAACCCAGGTGAGACTTGAACGAGAAATACAAGATTTCCTTCTCGAGGAATTCGATTCCATCCTAGGTATTACAAGTTAAAGGTGATGTCGTGCCATTGTATATTGAACAGAGATGCAGAAGACTGAAAACATCAAAAAGATCTATAGTACTTATGGTATAAATTTGTAAATACACAATTTTATCTCGTCTTGACGATTCCTGAGAGGAACAGGATGAATATTACATTACTTTTGGTTGCATAAATTTCTGTTTTGTGCTAACTATTACTTTTATCATTAAAGACAGACCGCTCAAAGAAAAGGCCCATAAAACCTATAGCCTAAGCCTATAACGTTATAAACCACTATTGAAGCGGCATCATTCGAGGGGCGGGGGCGGGGAGTCCTTCTATTTATGAAATTAATCCGATTACAACATTGCTGTCTTCTAAAGACAGATCGACAACACTGCAGCCATGCTTGTAACATTACATAAAATTATAAGAAAACAAACACAGATGTATGTTAACATGTTTGTCTAATTGATTGATTGATTGATTTTATTTATCGAGTACTAAACATTATATATAGTTAACTTAAAGATATGAACAAAATAATTTTGGAAGGACACCATGCTCAGCTGTGCCTAATTGAAATTTGAAGTTTAATTTACTAAATACAATATAATTCTACAATATATTAGTGATATGATTGATCTTTACCAACATCCAGTAACACAGGGAACATTCCCCTTTCCCTTTCCCTTTCCCGAGGTGAGCAGAAAGACGATATACCCGTTAAATACGAAGCCCAATTTAGAAATCCTTTTACAAGCCTTTGCTTTCCATGGAGCGCTATTATATAGGGCGGAAGGTATTGCTTAACCTCCTACCCTTCGAAAAAGAAATACGACACGGCCAAGATCCTCTCTAAAGTCATCCGATCGAAGTTGAAATGGATGGAGTCCTACCTCTTTTTCATTTCAATCCCCTTCTTCTTTTTCTTCTTCTTCTTCATATTCATTTACTTTGAGCCCCTTATTTATTTCTGAGTGTTAACCTTGGGAAGGATGTAGCCCAATAACGAATTTTCATTAAAAAGATATTGACATATCGTGCAATATCTATAAATGGCATTCGTCTTGGCAAACACGAAAGTAGGCCAGTATACTTAACCTAAAGTCATGAGAGCCGATCCATGGAAATTCTCCCGCCAAATTTCGGCTTCAAACGTGACTAAAATTATGTTGTATTTTAGCTCAATAAGCATTTCCATGACCGATCGTAAATTCTAAACATCATGCGACAATATAAATATAGTTTACCTGCCAATTAGGTTAGAGAAGATCCTTGTTTAAATTAAATATGATATTTTATCCGTCTGATCTTCTTCACTTCACGCGGAGAAACCTTGACTGCCATCAAACAAGTTATCGCCATGGTTGTGATAATGCATGCTGGGATACAACGGGGATTGAAGGTTGTAGAAGGTGGGGTGCCCTGTCGGTTGATGTCTATATCTTAATTTGGAGCTTCAAATAAACAAGTAAACGAGACAAGACAAACAAGACAGTAAACAAAAAAAAGGTAAATGTAAAGCATAAACAAAAAATGAACTGAAAGTAAAAGAAACAAATAATGTATCAGTTAGACTCCCTTTCGCTTCGATTGTAAGTGCAACAGTATTCAAATTCGATACATTTAATTTATTTTTGAACGCAGAAGATATGAATATATTGGGAGAAAAATTTTGAAGAAGAAAAATAAGAAAAGAAATGTGGGTGAATAAAAGGGAATAAAATGAATCATAAGAGAGAAAAAAAAGGAAAAGGGAAAAAAAGAAAATGAAACCTAATCTTTCAAAAACATGGGGAAAGTA